AAATAACTCCATATAAAAATGGCCACTCGGACATTTGATTCATTGCACCCCTCTTGCAACCTTACTCATAAGCTATGTTCTAAAAATCGTAAAGCATGGCTATGGGGAAGGCCAATTTTCAAATATGACGAGTTTAAAAATGTTTTTTTTTTAATTTTTAATATTATTATAAATTTTTATCATTGTAAAAATCATTTAATAATTAAAATAATGGTTGTGCACAAATTTGTTTACAGATTGATGATGTGGCAAAATTTAATTAGATCAAAGTCTCATTAATCAAAAAAATAAATAAAATCTACTTTCTTTTTGACATCTCATCAATCTGTAAAAAATCGTGTTAAGTGTGATATACAACAAACATTTTTCTTAGAATAATACATATCAAATATCTAAAATATTAAATACTATATTTACTTATTCCTACAATTAGACAATTATACAATTTCAAAAGAAACCAATGAAACTAAAGTCAAATAAAACGTTTTTAACAAGAGGAGAAAAAAAATAAAAAAAAGTTAATAAAGTGCGCCAAGCTAGGCGCACATTAAACGATCAACTTGATAGTTGACCACTTAGTTTCGCACTTAATGACAACACATGACGTTTTGACTTCACCTCATGCGTAGGCACACTTTTTAAAACACTGCTCATAGCTAGGTACATATTTGGCAAAACTTATAATTGTTTACAAGGTAGTGGACTTGGATGTCAAGTTGGTTTATTCAGGTATATTGATACCCCAGTATCACCTATTACATTTTGAGTATTTCGTAAATGAAATAATTTGGGTCAACTTAATTTCTTAAACTGAACTCGAAAATGAACCATCGATTTAGATTCGAATCTACCTAAAATGTTTTTTTTTTTTAATAAACTGTGAGCTGACATTTTATATTATCTTTACAATATTTACTATTAGCAAATATTTTCTGAAATAGAAAAAATAAAATATGTTATTATATACATATTTCAATACTTTATTGATCAGCTACAAATATGTCACAAAATGGCCTCCAATATTTAGCATAATAGCATCAAATTCAATTGTGGCTCTACAAGCCGTCTTAAGAAGATTTGCGAGGCAGGCAACACATAAAGTGCAGTCATGAGTGATTACGAACTAGAATGATATAGCTTAATTATTCAAATGTAAGGCTAAATAACAAAATCGTCAAACTGTAAAATCAAATTGAAATCGCTTTTTCGAAATCATTGATTTTGACCTACGTAAATTCGTCGACGTTTTTATTTTGAATCGAACTAAACCACTTTGGTTTATGTTACACTTTTTTGCAAACCATTTCAAATCATTTACAAAAAATCTAAAAATACATTAATTTAGATTTTATCCAACTTAATTAAAATTAAACACATTCAGTTAAAAAGATAAATTCATATTAGACCCAACCTTGTTAAAACTCAATACCAAATAGACAGTTATTCATCTCAATTAATTAATTGAATCATACCCAAAAAATCATTTCTGTACTTGGAATCGTGAATGCAAAACCCTCAAATTGGTTGAAGTATTGAACAACTACTATTGAATTGTATTCAGCGGCCATTCATCATAATTGAGTAGACAATTAAATTTAGATTTTTAATTCAAACTACCTCCACTTTTTCATTTTAATAATAATTTTCTCGAATTTCAACTAAATTTCGGAGCAGTGTCTAATTTTTCTTATTTTTTGATAATCGTCTACTACATTTTATTAGTAGTTATGTTGTTTTATTCTGATTTGTGAACGACTACCTTAAATTCTTACTTGGATGGTATTTTTTATTTATTTACGTCTCAATTTTCTAATTAGGTCACTTAATTTATTATTTATATTTTGACAGTCACTAAATTTTATTGTTAATTGCTATAATATTGATTGGTTGATTAATTAAATGGTCATTGTGAAGATTTGAACAATGAACTTTTCGATATATTATTTTAGTGAATTGAATGTAATAAGTGCAATATTGTCTTTCAAATTGTTAAAAGTGTTTTAGTTATTCAAATATCCATAATTGTTTCTAACTCACATTCCCTATTAGTGGTCGATTCTCGGTTTTTTGAGGACTTTGTTGAGTGCAGAGATGGTTAATGCAGTGATTTGTCCTAAAAATAGGTTGCATAGCAACAAGGAAGCTATAGTGATTCGTCAATATTTTGTCAATATCGAAGCATTAGATGATTCATAGAAAAGTGTAGAAAGTATTATCACAGTTAATATTTTTCTTCATTTTCTTTTATTAGTTGTTGTATATCATTTAACTATAAATAATGAATATATTTGCCTGAATTTTATGTTTATGTAGAGTATAAATAATGTGTTTCAACTTCAAATATAGCATCATTAAGATTAAGATGTTAAAAATAAAGTATTTCTATCATGTAGTAGCATTGTAATGATTAGAAGTATAGAACTTTAGTTTGTAATATTTGTGATGATATTATTTATGTTTTAACATAAAAATTTTAAGCGAATATTTATGAATTAAGAGCATTTTTAAGAGACTATATATCTAAAGACAAGCACTCTTTAATTTAAGAAGTTAACGTTTAAAAATAAATTTCAAGAGGTTATCTATTTTAACTTTTTAAAATGGCTAATGTATTAGCTATCTCCTAATTTAGATAGTCAAATTTACTTTCTATTCTTAATGCGTATGTGTGTGTGTTTGCTAATTCGTGGCTTTAAATCGAAACAAATCGAAAAAAAGTGATTTGGTTTGAAAATTTATTACAAATAGTCAAAATTGAACCGTATGTTTGCTAATTCGTGGCTTTAAATCGAAACAAATAAAAAAAAGTGATTTGATTTGAAAATTCATTACAAACAGTCAAAACTGAACCGTATTCGCCCCCAGTAAATATAATTGATGCACTTACTACATGAACTTTGAAAATTTGCTACTCGTTGGAACCCGTCATTGGATTGGGATGGATAAATTTTATAAAAATTAAAAAAAAAATTAACAAAAGGATAATGGAAAAAAAATACATAAGATAAATGTTTCAAGATACACTTTAAAAAATAAGAAACTTGTAAAAAAAGTTTCAAAAATTAGGCGGTCACATTTGTGAATACCTGATAACATGTCAAAGTCACAATAATACAAAATTATGGTCACAGTCAGAAATTGCATAGAATCATGGCCACAAAAATATAAACTGTGAATCAAAATTATAAATTTAACTGTAACCACACATTTTTCAGTCACATATTATTTATTTGTTAAAAAGAATCATTTTAGCAGTCACATATTATTTATTAATCACAATAACACACAATTATGACCACAATCACAAATTGCATAAGGTTATGATCACAAAATACAAATTATAAGTCAAAATTACAAATTTAGTTGCAACTACACGTTTTTTAGATCACATATTATTTATTGCCTGCAAATTACCAATTTTATAATTAATCACATTATTTATTTATTACAAATTACCTATTTTATTAATCATAATCACTCAAATAATTGGTCACAAACACTTTTCACCCCACTCTACTCCACCACCATTGCCACATCACTTCACCATTGCCATCGCCACTATTATTATCAACCAACGCACTACAACCACCATCAACGAACCACAACTACCATTGCATATATCCCACCCATCGCAGCACCAGCACCACTACCACTAGTATTACTGCATGTATCCGCATACACCACAACATACACAGTTCATCACTGCACACACTACCACACACACTTATCACCATCACCCCACCACATATTTGTACCCTTTTTTTTGTCACACATGAAAATTTGCACCCACTAGGAAGCAGCGATGCTTGCCACAAGACAAAGCGACACACACCACAGGAAGAAACAATGCTCATCACTGCTTATGACAGCGGCAAGGAGCATCGTTGTTGTAACTTGTAGCAACACCCATCACCACTTTGTGACCCTTCGCTTTGGGAAATGAATTAGGGCTACAGGGGGGGTGAGTACACCTTATTTTTGAATGAATAATTTATAATCTAATTATTGAAATAAAAAATTGAAAAACATGGATGACTATAATTTTCTCAAGGAGTAAATTCAATCTTATAGTCGAATGATTCTGGTACAAGATTGAAAATTTTCAAGATGTTCGATTAAAAATGTCCGTTCTACTTGGCTGCCAAATGATTTAATACATTGAATGATAGAATGCCAGATGACATTTTGTTATTGGATTGTTTAAGAAAAGTAACTCCTCCCTCCAATCCTTTTTTGCCACTCGCTTAATCTATCATCCAAAGTGTCAAAATCAAGCAAAACAATATTATTCTTAAATGATCTTGCTATATATACATCAAGAATTAAATGATGTTACATGACACTTTACTATTTACGAGCAGGGGCGGATCCAGGAATTTTTCGCGCACGGGCTAAAATTTAAAAGTCGATATAATAAATTCATATATAAATTAAATTCAAATTTATTTAATTTGAAGTTGTTCCAGACGAGTTTTTGAAACATAAAATTCATCTATAACAAAATCCATATCTATGTTTTGAGCAAGTTCTCGTTTGATGAAGAGTGTCATACAATCACCGAGAAAGGCATCCTCCATT